ATGGGATCAATAGCTTACTACATATGTGAAATAACCCTAGACTATTCTAAGGCGAACTCTTTGACCTGAAGCTAGAATAGGAACTACTGAATAATAGGATACTGGTATGGTCGTAGAATGTCATATTGTGCGATGAAGCGATAGACTGATGCTGCTTCACGTAGAAAAGTAGATATACGGAAGGGCGGTTGTGCGACGGACCTAGGAGGGAAAGTAGAAGGCCAGCCAGTCAGAACGATTGATGACGGAAGAACTGGAAACCACGTGGCGCCATACCCAGCGCACTAGCCTTCTAGGGGCTTCCACACTACACACAGATCCAATTATGGCGAATTTCGAAATGAGTACCCGACGCGGTCTCTTCGCACCTTTGACCTTTGAATGGTTGCTCGAGTTCGCGGGAAATCACGACACGTACCAAACGGGTTAATCCTTCACAAAGCTCCCGTTGATCATGAGTTACTATTAGTACTATAAATACTACGAACGTTCTCTGTTAGGAGTAGCTACAAAGAAACTATGAGGAGAAGGAAATGCTGGGATATCCAGCTCTGCTCCTATTTCGTGAAGAATTTTGGAAAGAAGATATAGTAGTTACAGATGTGCAAACCACAGAAAAAAAGAAAACGAGTTTACAGTGTCTACACTTTCAGTTCTTCTCATTCAACTGTCCCATCACTGGCAACGATGAAATACTCGAAGAAAAAACAACTTCATCATGTTCTGCAGACCTTTCATAGAGTCGTTGAGCGATATAATTACATCTTGTCAAGCCCTTGGAGATTTATTCCAGGTATTCTAGTAGACATTCCAATCATAGGGCAAGTGATATCTTTGCTTCGTACTGCTCATGTCCAGTGCTTACTGCTCGCTTGCATACTTTTCCTTGCGACATCTTTTTCTCCTAATCAGCCACGTTTTTCATTATCATCATACCTAACAACGCTCTTAAATGTTTACACCTCACTAAAATGATTGAGCTTTTGACTTTGAGCTCTGAAAAGTGACGTGGAAGTTTTCGGAGTGGGAGACAGGTCTCTTGTTCTAATTTGATTGTTTTTGAAGCTCACCTCGCAAGACTTCCTGAGACGACATCTCTCGAAGGAACACATAAGAGAACTCCATTCTCTGCGGAAGCTTTTAGTATTGAAACAGGTTTCAAACAGTGAACACTAATACAACAGGTTTCCATTTCTGAAAGTTCATTAAGACAGCAATTGAAGGCCAATACAGAGTGCCTCATCTTTGCTACAAGTGTAACCAAAGCATTGACGTATTAGGGCGAATTCTTCACCAGGAGGGTCTCTGCGTCCTGTCCATCCTTACCTGACACTAATCACAAATCTCTAATGTATAGTAACCGCTATACCGCATCTTACCAAAACAGAAGCCGCATAGGTTCTAATATTGTTACAGCTGCATCATCTCCAAAGAACATCACCGATTTCATTTCAGAGTGTTGAGGCCTGATTCAAAGAATTACAGAAATGTGGGGCCTCTCAGTAAAGCCTTTTCAATACGGAAACTTTCAATCAAAGTGTTATACAGGAATACTCCCAAGTGGGAACAGAAGTTTTAGCCCAGGGTTAACAGGAAAGTTGTTACTTCTGGCGCTCTAGTTGCACTGGCAATCGGGTAACGAAAATGGCTTAGGGATTTTTTCTCGCCGGANTTTCAATACGGAAACTTTCAATCAAAGTGTTATACAGGAATACTCCCAAGTGGGAACAGAAGTTTTAGCCCAGGGTTAACAAGAAAGTTGTTTTATTTCTGGCGCTCTAGTTGCACTGGCAATCGGGTAACGAAAATGGCTTAGGGATTTTTTCTCGCCGGATAGGTGCCTCCAAGTTTGTGGCATGCGTATACAATCCCAGGTTAGGATGAACGATGAAGAGACTCAACTTGTAAACAATCACTTTGATATCGAATTTCAGTGGAAACTCCATTGGCGAACCGATTTGTGCTGTAGGAGATCCGTGCACGATGGACGAAGACTGTCAATGCCTGGGTTGCACTTGTAGAAAAGATAAGGCACTCTGTATTGATTTTTAAATGCTGTCACAATAGACCTCCAGAAATAGAAACCTGTTGTATTAGTGTTGACTGTTTGAAACTTATTTCAATTCTGATCGCTTCCCGCAGAGAATGGAGTTTTCCTATGTATTCCGTCGAGAGATGTCGCATCAGAACGTCTTTCAGTTCAAAAACTGCTATGTCGCTTTCCAGAGATTGAAGTCAAACGCTCAGTCCTTCTCGTGGTATCTAAACATTGAGGGGTATTGATAAGAACAATGATGATATCAAACGTGAGCAGGAAGTTCACTTCATCGCTTTCACTATCGAAACCTCGCTTGCCCTCTCGTTTTTAACCCACAAAAGCGTGACCAAACACAACGGGTTCTTAAAATAATTATTCACACAACCTTTACGTAGACGATATCTTCCGTCTGACGTACTATAAATATTTCTCAGCTGCTATATTTGATAAATGGTAAATGATTGCTTGATAAATTGATCGACGTCCTACGAGAGGTTCCCTTTCTATTGACCATGCGAGCATGGGTTTAAAGATAGGTTGTCACATTCTTGAACTCCCTTCTTCTGAAGAACCCAGAATTCTTCCCAATGAACTGGACTCTCGGATTCAACTAATTCCTGCACACCTATCGGATTTGAATTGCTGTCTATGCCGAGAAGAGATGATGGTAGCACATGATGGTACAGATTAACGTTTTCTTCAAGCCATAAAAAATTTTTAATCATTGTTGTTACCTTCGGTTTACAGCAAAGTTGAGGATAAGAAATACTCGGGCAGAACCACGAAACTTCTTTGCTCCATACCAAATGTATTGTTCTAAAATCCGACGTCGCATGGAATCGATAAGGATCTACCACTGTCGCATTACGATGTGAATCAAAACACAAACCAAATCACATGGGGAATTCAGCAGTTTCATCGTTATGACTGCTCAACGACAAAGTGGAAAAGTGGCACATTGACTGGGAGTGTGCTTTACTGTCACATGCGGAAGGAAATGATTCATTCTATCCATCGCAGCTATGCTGGAGAACGTGTACCAATCTGGAACGCTGCCTGTAATGACTTCTCATGCTAGAAAAATGACTTCCCTATTATGTCTAGACCTCCCTAATCAAATTTTCACTGACACTACCATTTAAGTTCCCCATAACTGTTCGGTGTTCAGATTTTCCAAGTCCTCCGAGAGAATGTCTTCTTTTCTCGGTGATTGACATAACACACGCGGTTGCGCAACGATGTCGCTTCAAAACGATACAGATCTATGCCGAAATCGAGGTAAGTAAGCCCTAGATCTTCAACTGTCATCTGGTATAATCTGGAACATCAGTCGCATTTTCAGCGACACCAATTGTGTCTGGTGGAATCTTTTAAGCTTTCTCTTCATAACAATTTAGAAAAACTTGCCTCCTCAGCAGTCGTTTCTCAATAATTTTGCCACTATATTCAATAAGTTGCAATGACAATTCGATTTTCAAGGTCTCTCGCTCTTGTCTTGTCCACAGACTAAGAAAGTGCAACCAAATCTATTGAAGAGAGGATTTTATTAGCTTACTCCTGGAACTTACCACCCATTTAATCAAATAGGCTGCCTACAGTACCAAACTTACCACTGTACGCACTACTCCTGTTTTACTCAGCTCCTCAGGTGACAAAACGCCATCTCCAGCGTTTCGTCACCTTTCTTTGTCTTCTCTAATTTGCGCGTTAAACCCATAGTATTCCCGTGCATATTGCTTCTTTGCTCCTGTTGTTTGTCTCATAAGAATAAATAATAGAAGCCTTTGCCAAGTTTCCAGGCTACTTTATCACTCTTTACTGACGAATGTATATGAGAGCGTATATGAAGGCTACTCTAGCAATGTCTGAAAGAATCTCTGTAGAACTCGGTGGGAAATGCAATTACCTGGAAATTACCAGCTCTGTTTGATAAGTCAAATTTTGAAGTCCCATGAACTTGTGGTACAGTAACTCCTCCCACTCCCCCCTCCCGGACCAGCTTTTAAAGGCATTTGAGTATGTCTTCGGGTTACTGTACAATCTGTATTTTCTTCGCTTAAGGGGTTCACACTGCCGAGAGCCTCGAAAATTGACTGATCCTTTGTCAAACTTTTCGTCGTACCTATCGTGTCTGGTTGTTGCCTTGGCAGCTTTCATAGTGTTCCTAAGCTTGATTTTATGCAGGTTATATTATAACCTTGAATCTGATCACTGATTGAAATCACGAAAAAACCCATTGAATCCTACGTCAAAAATGAAATGGAAATACACGTAGGATTATTCGGCAGAGAACCAGAGACTTTTCAAACTTCACACATGAGGATCAAGAAAGTGATGCCGTGTTGCTGCTTCATTGAATTTTCTAGTTTGAAACCTTCACTAGCATAAGCTAGCGGCATGAGCCATGGAAGCGTGGACACACTACTAATTTCGTAAGAGAATATAATATTTAGGAATAAGAATGATATGAATATATCCATACAAAAATGCACCCGTTTTCCTGCCCCCACTCATTGTTTCGGCAAGCCGGAGCTCTTCTCTTTACGACATCATAATACTTACATTTGTATGGCATCAGCCTAAGCCATGCCAACAATCTCTTGTTACACCTCTCCTCGTCTCTGGATTCTTTGGGTATCATAGTGGGCTCGCTCTCCTGTATGTGAGTAGTGTTACATTCATAATCACATTGCGGTGAATAAGAGTATTTTCCCCCACAGCAGAATGACGAAATGGAAAGGATTTTCCAAGTTCGCTAATTCGATCTTACCATGTCCTATGTGATTCGCTCTACGCCTCAGCAATTTGGTCCGACTAGATCTGTTTAACGACAAAGTTTGAGCAGAATTCAATCTACCGATTCTAGCCAAGAGATCCTAAATGCTCCAACAGAACTGCCATTCATTTTTTTAGCTTCGCCTTTTTGATTCCTGGAACCTATACTCAGCACACGATTTAGGTGATGATGCCAATGGAGACCGCATGGAAGGGGTTACAGGTGATCAGTTCCGTCACTATCGCTATGTCAATTGGTGCAGTAGTCGTCATCAGTAATGTGATTTTCGTTCCAATCGTGTGGAACGAAATCTCACTGACATGGAATCAACTCGAACAGCAGTTAAACGATGTGGAGGTAAGATCGTAAGAAATATGTGGTAACCGGCCGAAGTGCAATCGACACTAAAGTGCGACCGTGCTGCCTGTTTCTATTTAATTTTATACAGCCTTAAGGGATGATTGCTCGGCTGGGAAACACCTCTCTGCGGTGTGTTCCAAATTTCAGCTCAAGAAAACGAACCAAATTTTGTTGCCAGTGATGCTGGGTTGAAATAGTGCTTACAGGCTATAAGGATCTCCATCAAAAAGGCACTTGACACACTCCCTGTTGAGCTGACAAGGCAGGCTAGAGATTTAGCAAGGTAAGTCACTTTGAAATGCTAGAAAAATAATAGAAAATAATCACTTCAAAGCTGTGGACATCAGACGGAGTAGAAGATCTAGGCTTTAGGGATATCTTCGTAAATTAAATGATTTCTTGTAGAATTGGTGCCTTCGCTCTCCATTCATTGCCATTTTCATTACAACTTTGTCAAGGCAGCAAAAGAGTGCCGTAGAAAGAATAATTCCCCCTTTCTAGATCAATATTTTCGGTCCACATATTATTTGGAAACAGTAGAAATGGGCTTCCACCTCTAAAGTTTATTGGAAATTCCAGATCCATAAATGTCCTTAAGCCCATGTGAAGCAGTATATTATGTTTTTGAAAAAAAATAAGAGGATTCTTATAATCGAAAGAATTAAAACTTTTGTTTCGGTTCTATAATCTCGCTGCCAACATTGTAGCGCTGAACAAACAAAGCAATTTGGACATTAAACATTGTTTACAAATTATAGTTAACGTTGATACTTGAAGGTTATACCTTTTTTCGTACCGTACAGTTCATTTGAAGGCAGCGGCTGGACGATGAGACAATGGAGTCATCGACTAAACCAGACAGTACACTCACCCGAAGGCGACGCACACACAGAAAAAGGGAGAAAGTAAGCGAAATTTCATTTTGCTGTGCACCTACTCTAGCACTTCGGGAAGGATCATCGTAAAAATCGAAAATGCTCTGTTCGAAATTCCCCATCGCATGGGCAGTGCCTAAGATTCTCCTTGTTATATGTACACCAGTCGGATCGCCCGGCTATGGCCATTCTCTCCTCCTTCTTGGGTCAAACACCCTATCCTGTGAGCAGTTGAACTGAAAATTATTTTCCCTTTTTCAAAGTTTATAGTTTTTAAGTTTTTTCCGCTGTCTAGCTGGATGAGAGTATGAAAGTGAAACAGAGCTCGAAATCCTTCTATGACACAACGGGAATCGTAAGCTTCCCTCCTTCTTTGATAATGTTGTATGTAGTAAGTCTAACTCTCCACTCCTTTTTTGGAATAAATGACATTTTTCTGTACACGAAGTTTGACACAGGACTAACAGGGCAGTGCAAATGGTATTCAGTCAAAGTCGGCGCTTACGCCTTTGATTGGAAGTCTCGAACTTATGCTCTCTTTCTTAGAAATAAATACCCATAAAAAATCTGCTAGACAGTCAAAAATGTGCTGTGGAGATATTCTGATGAAAAATGATAGCACCGTAATCAGTTGTTCTTTATTAATGGACCCTTTTCTTTATGGAAATATCATTAGTCAAGAATTCCAGATTACTGGCGGTTGTTCAAGTTTTGTCGCAAATGATATCAAGCAAAGAGGACTTTATATTGAACCACAAACCTTGCTGGGTAGCGGTCGTAATCTAATAGTGAGAAATGAACAAAGTTCTAATCTGCTTAGCGGCCAAATAGTGCCATAGTGCCGCCAATGGGTCCCTATCACTGCGCATACCACCCACTTTTGTCACCCTGCTCTACCATCCCGTCTTATCGGATGAAACATACTGAACGGTCAAAGCTACATCGTAAATATCGAAGGGTTAGAATTTCGATCGATAGGTGGCTTCTCTTAGGCCTCTCTCTCCTCTCTTCCTTATTTTCTCTTATCAGTTATGATCAGTTCTTGTCACCGAGTACTTACGATCCCGTCATATCCTACATCACTTACTAAAATTCTGAGGTTATCCTACCGAATTCAACGCTCTAAGTCCGCGTAAACAGGAGTTATGAATTTGCGGCCCAATTTTTATTGCGCACGCATCCTGTGCACGGAGTCCGGTCCTACCATCTGCCATGAGTGTTCCCATTCTGCCCCCTTATTCCTACCAAATTTGAACGCCCTAGGTCCATGGGGACAGGAGTTATGAATTTCCGGTCAGACACACACACCGACACACCAACAGACACACTAAGCGAATTATATAAAGTAGGAAGATATTTTTTTATGATAAAAATTATCATCCCAGGCCAGTTCGTCCAGCATGAATCCGTAAAGTAAGTTCATCACTATCTATTAGGTTGACCGGAAAGTTTCCCGCCACGTGTTTGACCGCATCATATTAGCCTTGCATGTATGTTTGTGACTTATCGTGGGGTGTTCATGAAGCACTCAAGAGACTCTTTCACATCACTACCTCACACTGACCCAGCTTGCATTTGGATTCCAAAATGCTGCCCAAGTTTCAACCCAGGCACTGTCTTCTTTTTCTTCATCAGTCTGGCTTAAACGCGAAGGAAGCCCAGGCCAAAATAGTGGATACATATGGCGCTGACGCTATCTCTTACGACACGTGCAAGACCTGGATGGCCAAGTTAAAGTAAGGAAATTTTTCTCTCCAAGATGCTCCAAGGTTCGGCCGGCCGATGGGGTTAGACTTGATGTTGCTGCAATGCACCTTGGAAGAGGATCCGTACGCCACTACTAGGGAACTTGCAGCGATGCTGGGCCATGCCCAATCGACTGTTGAATCTGAGCTGGAGAAGATTGGTAAAAACGCGAAACTTGGCCGTTGGATTCCTCACCGAAATTCAGTGGCGCGAAACTTTCCGGTCAACCTCATACATAAGCAAGAATTGAGGTGGCACGGTGTAATTCTTCATGGAAGTGCGCAGTAACTGCCCCAATTAGATAAATTCCCAACCCTAAAAGTCGAAATCTCATCGTCCTTCGAAGAGTTCATCATTTGCAGTAGAGCGAGATACTCCCTACATAGAAGCCAATGTTGAATAGTTTGCAAAGGGTTTGAAACAGACCTACCAAGCCATTTCGACACAATTAGTTTAGGTCGGAAGACACACATCTCGCAAGCTGACGCTTCGAGAATCGAAACTAATTGATCTCTCCGGCAGCGGAGGGCAATGCGGTAAGTGCTCCTGCTTTCCTAACCGAAAAGGGCAAAGAAGTTTCTTTGTTATGTCCATGGAATAGCATTTGTAAACGTGGACGAAATGCCAATTTCATAGGTGTAACATCATTTCAGTTTGCTCACTTGAGAACAAGTGTCCAACTGGTCCACCGGGACCACCTGGTCAAAATGGAGAAGATGGAAGCCCTGGAAAGCGAGGGACACCTGGAATGAAAGGTACGTTCAGTTCCAAAGAAAAAAGTTGGTTGTTCAGTACCTGTCTCCACGCGAATGTTGGTTCAATCGTAAGAAGTGAACAAATTGTTGCATTTGCCATGATGTCGAACTGTTGACCTCCCACTCCTTTCTACGTTCACGTTGTTCATTCCACTTCACGAATAGATGGCCTACTGGTAGAGCAAACTTTTTAAGGTATCCCTATATAAGGAATAGTAGTCTACGACAAATTATGACTTCATCTGTTCATTGATTGCGTACTCCATTTACCAAATTGAGTACAATCTCTTTATTAGCCTTTCGATTTCAGGACTTCATTCTATGGATGTTACTGCTCAACACATTTTCGCAGGTTGTCTGGTTTGCCCTGCAGGGCCAGAAGGGGCCCCGGGAGAAAGAGGACAAATCGGTACTCCAACAATTCATGTAGTGGTTGATTTCTACGCGTGTATTCTAGAGTATCAAACAAATTTCTAGGCATTCCTGGACCAAAAGGCGCGCCCGGCTTGCACGGTTTACCTGGCCGAAATGGTGCTCCCGGCTCACCTGGAGATATTGGTCCGCCAGGAAAGCCGGTCTGTTCCTTTATTCGAGAAAGAACATCCTGAAACTGTCATCCATTTTTTGACCAGTTTATCATATTATTAGAATTGTTGTCAATACAGGAACTCGTGGGTGGGGGAGAATGAAGAAGAGGAGTAGATTTGGAAGCATTCTCGTGCGAATAGTCAAAAAAAAGTGCTGAAAGCTATATTGAGCGGCTTCTTAACGGTAGCGCATTCGAGTGTTGAGGTCAAACGTCAGCCTAGCTCTTGCTGTTTCTAGGTCAGAAAACTAGTAAGGAAGTAGTTCAAGAAGGTCTTTTGCACCGCTTACAAGGGCACTAATCATCAGCCTAATACGTCATGCTGCCTTAAAAAATGGATAGCTTCAAAGTGCTGTATTTGAAAAGATTATTTCTACCGAAAGTGTGCCTACTGATAGCCTTCTGACATTCCTCATCGTGGCCTAACAAAAATATATTCGTCAGGCAATCTTTGTGGGCTCTAGGAATCCAAGAATTCAAGAAACCTTATTTTAGCTTTACTTTTCTTTGCTCCTTTTTTAAAGCCTCATATTTCTCAGCATACGCCAAATCGCGTTTTCTTCGCCTTTTTTGCTATTTTTGGGTACCACTTCCATTACTCGCCTCAAACCGGAACCCGAATCATCTTTACCTAGGCCTTTCATTCATCAGCCTCTCGTGATTTATTCGAGAGCCTCGTGTTCCCTTTTATAAATTTCTACCGCTTAATAAGGTAAAGCCAGTGAACTTATGTGGTCACTTCAGGGCAAAACAGGGAATGCTGGAGAAGCTGGTCCACGAGGCATGGATGGTATGGTGTCAGAAGGACTACCAGGAGTCAAAGGTAAACCCGGTTCACGTGGTCCTCGTGGTAAACGCGGTGACCATGGCAAGAATATCAGTGTGGTAAGTATTAAATACTTGCAAATTTCTCTTCCAAACTAGCTGTGAACGTCCTTACAGAAAGGTGACGCCGGGCCACAAGGACGGGCCGGAGACGAAGGCGTGCCTGGCCTCCGAGGACCTGAAGGACCACCTGGAGCTATGGGCTTGCCAGGAACCCCTGGAGTTTCCCCGGTATGATCGTCTGATATTTTTTCCTGTGAACAACAAAAAGAAACTGAGTACAGCGAAAATTCCTACACCTTGGGCCGCGCTCTCCCTTTCTATTGGAAATTTAGAAGAAATGCCACCCATTAGTCATCATAAGCTTATATTCTACATTCTTCGCCCATTAAATACTTTTAAGTAGGAATATGGGTGGATCGTATAGAAATGCGCTGTTCTTTTCAAAAACATTTCCTTTGCTTGGTTTACACTGACTCATTTTTTACAGGACTGCGACTGCAAGCAGATCAGAGGTCATCAGTCTGCACAGCGACACTTACGTGTGCATTTACTAGAAAACCAAGACCGAGATGCCCACCTTGCGAGTGTACTTAGCAGCTTAAAAACAATCAAATCTGCTGACAGAAGTTCCGAACGAAGTAGTGAAGAGGAAGAGCTCTTGCCAGGAGAAGGATCCGGGGAGGAGAGTGAAATCGCAACAACAACCCAGCCGAATGATGTTGTAGAGGAAGGGCCAATACAGGATTTCAAGGAAATGAAAGAGGAGAATGAAGCTGCAGATAATGTGCATGAATCATCCACAACAGCTAGCATATCATTACCCGAGGAACAAAACGGGGCCGATGTAGGTCTTGCTGCTGAGATGCCAGTTATAGAGCTGACTTCAGAGAAGATCACTTCACCGACGGAGACCGATACCGATCCTTTACCATCATTGGGGACTGAACTGCCATCACAAGGAATATACGATATTCTCGTGAAAGTGCCAACACGAACATCTAAGGCGAACGGAGATGTTCATCGTGCTCGAAAAACCGGGAGAAAGCCAATTCGAAAACCTCCAGGACATAGCCGTTTTCCTCAACCCCATTTGAATGTTAAACACCTTTCTGGCAATCGGAATCGGAAGGGTGTGAAGAAATTCAAGGTTGATGGGGACGCCGGTGCAGTGGAATCAGAAGCTGGAAAGTGAGTTTGTGAGCGAGGGCTTCTGAAGAGTCCGATAGAGTTTAATCAAATAACGTTCACTTTACGGATAATTAGCGCTAATCCGATATCTTCAGAGGCAGCGTTTCTCTGAAACGACCACCCATGTTGGAAGTATCAGGCGATAACAATTTTGTTGTTCCGCCAAATTCAAAAAAGGGCCATTCAAGGTAGATCTTTAACGAGACAATGAATTTTGATTCCAATGACTGCATCCTGTTTGAAGAAAGCTGAGCCAAGACTCAGTAATGCTGAACTAAGGGTTAAAGGCAAGGTTAAAGAAAAACTAAGGCATAGGTTAAAGACACAGTTCACGATGGTTTCTGGGATTTCTCCATAGGATGAATTTGAGGCCCCTTCTTATACCATATCTGGCGCGATCATGTCGGAAAACGGCCTAGTTAGGGCGTTATAAAGGCTCAAGACTGGCTCGTGTACTTCCTCGGACGAGTTTAACTGGCATTGTAGAGGCAGATATCGAAGGAATCCGTGTAGGAACTTCAACTATTTGTCATGACCCGTAGCGGCAGCGAAAGGCATCTGTACAGTTACGGTTCGATGTAATCAGCTCTTTGCGCAGTTGCTACAATGGAAATCTCCTCGGAATACCCCTTCCATGTTATTTCCGTCATGGTAAACTCGTCCAACCTCTACTTTCCCTACTATTGAAGAGCCTTATTTTTCTCAAAATCGGCGAATTTTCTCGCTTTCTTCACTACCAATGAACTATTCCCAACCTACACTTCGCTTTTCGGCCGAAGAGAGGTACCTCAAAATTATCGTGAACTGTGCCTTTGAGTAGCTTCCCTCGTAATATAGCTTTTGTTTTGACCACACATTATTCGGTTCATATTCCGGTCAATTTTGTTTCAAAGGCAAAGTTCTCGTCACCTACAAGGCGTTCTTTCCAAGCTGAAAAACTGCAACGTTAGGGGAGAATGTTGGGGCATCGGTGACGAAGGAGGCCAGAAGACTTGCAGTATTCGCGGGATATGAGGCTCCTTGGAACTAGTGGAAACCTTCTTCTTTCTCGTTTTTCCCAGCGTTAATTCCGAGTCTACTGTCTTGTTAGGTCTCACCACTTTCGTCTATACACGGCCCGTCTATCCTCTGCCGTCACCTCAATTACGTCCCCCCGCCATTAATTGGGGCTCCTCGCGCAAACTTTCCTTGAGCCTTAATTTCCATGGCCTCTTTGTTCGAATGATCTTGTGTTCTTCACAGCACGTGGTACGAATGTAACTGTTGTACTCTCAACTTCAGCTGGTTTTTATGACTGCCCAGCATCATCATTTCTGTTCCATTGCAGAAATGTTCTAAATTAAGAAGCTTGTCGGCATATTCTCCTCATCTGCGTTTGACCTGGCATCCTTAGAATGACACTGTCAGTGTCTCTTACAACCTTCATTGCCCCAACGTCTCGAGTGGCCCTCTGTTTGCCAGACCTTTTGCTGGATAGTAAAATGACTTTTCTTATTCTCTACTATCGAGCTTCTCGTATAAGGCGTCTAATTCCGAATTTTCAGCCTTCGCTACTGCAGAATTGCTATGATTCTTGCAACTTCTAAAAGCAATTGGATCTTTCGGGGGTGACGGTAATTCTCGAATTCCCGCGGCAAGCGGCAATGGTCCCGTAGCGGTCACGGTATCTTTCCACTCGGAATCCGAACCGCTCGCTCCATGCGGCGAGCGCGACGCGATTTCCGTGGAGAAGTTACTACACCCAAATTCCAGAGCTCTCGTCTTTTACCAGCGTCTATACGCATCTTTCTTCTGCTCTACGACCCTCATCGTACCAGAACCACGTTTCCTTGTCTTTTCTGTATTCACCGCGAGTTTCCCCAAGCGCTTCCTTTGCACAATTCTATTATAGAAGTAGTGAAAAGAAGGCCCTGTAAGAGCTCACTTCGATGGAAAAGATATTGAAGGGATTCTCAGATGGAAATTCAGTCGTGTAGTATTCCCTAAGGAGCTAGCTAAACATAGCCAAAAAGCCAACGTCCGTTATCGCCATGGGTTACGACTAGTTGTTCGATGAGTGTTCACTGTGAGTGGTAGAGCCTCTACACCGCCGCCAGAACTCGCCCAGAAGCCGTCGGTTCACCTCCTTTGAGAATCTCGTGAATCACTATCATCATGAACTATGCCTTTCAAGTCATTGCGGTTTCGAACCGCGTTTCTTGATCAAGAGAATCGTAAGCTCTTGAGTTCTCTTGGAATTTCGACACGAACGGTTTATCCGTTTCAAAATTGCTAAACAAGTTTTGCCTCCTGAGCCACTTTCAGAGAGCCCTCTTAATGAGCTGCTTCTCGATCAGGTGGGCTCGAAAGACTCTTCATCTAACGTTTTAATACACTAGAAACTTCCTGAAAATAATAACCATAGTCTGTAAGCATTCTGATTGAGTGATCTGATTTTTTGGAGGTGAAGGGAGTAGGGGAGGGGGGAGAGGTGCGCTTTTATCACTCAAAGAATAGACCCATTTTCGTCCAGGTACCATGAAACAATTCTGAAAAGAAAAGAAAATCAATTTCGCCTTGATCGATTTCATCTCAGCTCTCCACTCCTAAATTGTACCGAAAATTCTTGGAGCTGTTTCTTGAAAACACATAGGAAACTTCATCTACAAGTTTCTCAATTGCAGATCAGGACAATTCAGCAAGCCCGCCTTTGATATAGGAATGGTTTTTGCAGCACGGGAACGGAAACGTAAACGATTGCTAGCACAAAGAGGTAAACTCGTCCATAGAGAACAATCGAAACGGCTCCGGAACACTGCTACAAATACAACGTTCAATCAGAGAAGCCCAAAGAACCAGATAAATCCGAACGTTGATCTGATCATATTGCCAAGACCTGCTCTGACGGCTTTTCCAGTACGAAACCCCACAATTTCTATATTCAACACGCTAACGAATGATATACGGACCGAGTCGTCATCCGGTACTTTACAGCAGCCCCAACGAGCATTCGGTCCTCCAACTAGTCAGCAAAGAATCAGCATACCACTGGTGACTCCATCAGAAGGTGAGATTCCTGTCCGTGATGATGTTGAACGCCGGCTTTATGCTGTAGAAAATGAGTTGCGAAGTGTGGCCGACGTAAGAAAGCGTTCATCTGACGAGCAAGCGAGCTCAGGACATTTAGAAGAAGGTAATTGGAGGAGCAGCAGTCAGAGTCTTGGTGGAAGTGAGGTGCCTTTACCTTCAGAAGTAATAGCACCACTCAAGATAGACATCGATAAGGAGCTCGGATTAGGCATGACTGGGAAGATTCGTGAGAGTGAGTACGCCCTCCCGGTGGGACTTCCATCAAAAATCGCTATGATATACAGTACCGAGCCAGAAGAACACAAAGGAGGAAGTGACACAATCCAAGAGCAGAGCCTCGATAAGAACCTCGTTGAAGGATATGTTCTCCCCATCGACAAAATAATGGATAAACGAAATTCCATCGTTGATCTAGGGTTTTTTACCCCATGGAACGCTGGGAAAAGACGTATACACATTCTTCTCGACCGTGATTCGCAGGTAACGGAAAAACCAATTTTGAGTTGATTGTAGCTGAGAAAAAATCTTTTAGAACCCTTCAAATGGCTATGTCGGGATTACCTCACGATCACACACGGAGAGCGAAAGGATCCCGGCAAAAGAGGTGATTTCGTGAAAAAAATGGTTAGAAAAAGAGAAATTAGCTACTTCTTTAGCATATTACTTTCGTTGACCGCGCACCGTATTCTCCTTTGGCAAGAGCTCGAGCGATTATCGGCGACATTCCCTCACCAGAAGCTGAAGAAGCAGTAGAAGCAAAATCTTCAGGTACTTAATATCTGCATAGCTTACGACGATTTTTACAATACAGCCTCCATTATTAAGTTTTATGACTTTCGTGTACACTGAAACTAATAATCAAGTCGGCTCTCATACCTCTTACTAGCGATAACATTTAGCACAAATCTTGATCAATGTAAGAGTTAGGTCGTCAGTTCGAGCCGGGTAAACCATGTACTATGAAGTCTTCTGAAGTCTTTTGGCGTTAATCATTCCCGTTAAAGGAATGCGCCCACGCATTCGACCCCCATTCAGAATCATAGTGGTCTATTGAATGCGTATGTGGCGTATACAAATGAATTGCGGTGACCAGCCGTAGTGCAAGTCAGTGCTATTAACCTCTCAGACGAATCTAGTTCCAATTAACTTACCCGAAAGGGATGGAAGCCTTGGATGTCCTAGGCGGATGTCGACTCGGGAATCAAACCAGTGACCATAAATGTGTCATAATGCGCCACTTGGCATTACACCAACTCCGCCCTACTACGTACCATACCAAAGTAAAATAAACTAAGTAAACTGTAGCTAACCTATATGATGGCCACTTTACCGTCTGAAGCTTAAGGCTATTATATGGCTCAGAGAGTGCCATCACGAATACGCGTCGAAACCAAGTCACCGCTCACGACGAAGTAGGAGTTTCTAAAAAAAAAACGAAGCTTCAAAGAATTACCCTTTTTCTATGATGTGACCTTTGAGGCGGAAATTTTGTAAAGTGCTAAAGAAACAATGTTTGAGCAACTGTTTTGTTGAGTTCGTCTGCCGTTCTCATCGACACATGGATGAACGTCTTTAAAAAATAATGATAGCTGACAAACAGACGTATTGACCACGTCAGCCACCAGTGAAGCTGTTAGTAAAATATCGAAGCAAAATATTCATTAAACATATTGTTACTAGAATACGATTTAAGAGACACTGACAAGCACACTGACAAACTGAATTTTTCAGATATCAAGCGATTTCATGTGTCGGAGTTGGTTAGCGACAAAAATCGGCGAGGATATCTCCATACCGGAACCAAACTTGTCCGAGTCTCCACAGGAAACGTAGCAAAGAAGCAGTCTATCGGTGGTTAGTTAAATCATTTTCAGTATATCCAAGATTACGGCGGTATGGCAACCAGATGTCACCTTTCATGCCGCACAGTTGATTCTTAGGGTTGAGCCACGCGCATAAGGACGTCTGTGATCATTGTGCCTTGATTACTTATTAGGAAGCTCGCTTGAGAAAGGAACACCTGAAAATTCAAACCAACTGACCATCATTAAGCAAGCCCATGCAGCATCTCCTTGAACTTGAGGATTGGGAATTTGACCCCCATCAAACTCCCTTGAAATGTCAAGTCGTTCTCACGTCATTCGAACTCTCCAAAGAAATGACATGCACCAAGTGTTACGGCAGCACATGATCATTGACGATTTTACTCCTGCCTTGTGATAAGGAATAAGACAGAGCAAGTTTATCTAGCAGTTTTTCAACTGAATAACTTTCAGGCAAGAAGAAGACGTCATTGGCAGCTTCTAAAAGGAAATCCTTTACTCCTTCAAGCAAGAAACACGCGGAAGTAAGCAAAATTCTTTCCAAATCACGAAAACGAGTCTCGAACCTAGCTAAATCATTAGTAGTCGGAAAATATGAACCGAGGGAAAAAATTTTTCAATCGCGAATACCACCACAGTCAGTTCAGATCTATGCCAACACATAGGGTAATAGAAGCTGTGTTCTTGACTTTCATTAAGTCGACAGAAATCATCATAAATGAAATGCCCACATAGGCTGAAAAGAGCCATCTCAACGACATAATTCAAAGAAACACAATCTAGTAAAGTTCGAGCTTTGTTAAAGCCCAAGTCGTGACAAATCCTCCATTTTCAGATTATGCCTGAGTTCGTAGGCGGAAGGAAAGGCTACGAGGCGATCGGAAGAGTCCAGAATTCACCCAATGTTTGGAAAATTGAAACTATGCGGCTTTTGTAACAATTTATAGTATACGTGCCGTGTTTCTACACTAGCCTCTAGATCTTCGAACATCTATGGGGACCATTTCTCTCCTTTGTTTAAGCCTTCAACGCATCGACTACGAAGTTTGAAGAAACTGAAAGAAAATTT